GCAACAGTAGTTCCAAGCAGTGTTTGGGAGATGTCCTGTGCTGCGTTTTCTCTTTCTAAGGTTTTCTGAAGTAATGATGATGATGCTTTGTTAGTGTGTTTGCTGAAGAGCAATCGCTGCTCAGAACGATGACTGCAATTACAATACATAAACAGCATTTTGAATTGATTCTCAGGTCCATGGCAAAGTAAAGATGCTTCAGTGTGATTTCAGTGGAGCTGACTAGGTTACGTACAGGGACATTATGGCCCACTTTTGTCATCAATAATACAATGCAGTGTGACTCTTGAGGGTAGCAGAGGGAATAGTGATAGCAAACAGACCACAACTGATTCTAGTGAAACAACAGCAATATCAGAAAAAATGATCATACTGTGGGTTGGTTTTGGGACAATGTGTTAAAATAGTATTACAAACTCTTTATTAAGTGTCATTGCAGAAACCTACAGACATATTATGCCCCAGTTTTTAAGCGTCTATAACTAGGCTTCTGGTAAAGAGCCATATGTCCCATAACCCTCTCCACTGACCTGCTGGTAGTTCTCATCTTCAGGCTGGAAGGTCTTATCAATGGGCTGAAACCTCAGATTGATATGAGGAAAATTGTGAAGCCAGTAAGTCCACCACGGCGCAATGTAATCCACACGATCCGAAGACATCACTGCCCGGAGAAAAAGTTAGGCTTCAGCCTAAATTAGCCTCTCAGTAGTAAAGCGGGCAGTTTCTTCCGCTGCCGGATATTTTAATCAAGTCGCACATTAAACAAAGGCAACGATAAAAGCATGCTCGGTTGTGGAAACACACTCGACCACACATGAGAGGTGGGGAAAGTCCTGCAAAGGTAAAAGTGTGTTTGCAAAAGTGAGATCCGGTTAGGATTTTCCCCGAGAAAGACCAATAATCACTCTGCGTCCATGTTTCCGTTCCTGTGGACCCACAGATACTATCCGACCGACAGCTGCTCCACACAAACAGCAGACAACACAGTCAGCAGCGTGAACGCGCACTTATAGTAGGCGCAGGACACCAGGGGGTGAGGGGGCGTGCACATTCGCTTTCGTAAATGGTTTCGGAACATTAGTCTGGCACACATATCATAAGTACAACTAATTATTTAAATAAACAAAGTCAGTTAATTGTAACATCAGCTACATCGATTTTTTTTTTTTTATTATTAACGGCCCCTTTATTCTCTGGTAAATAAGCAACAGCGGTGCCACCTAGTGTTCAATTAAGCCAATTACACAACATGCGGCCCGTGAGAACAGCTGGTGGGTCATTGTTATAGTGGCTTATATTAACATTTTTTATACTTGTATTTTCTGGTGTACTTCAGCTACAGATGCAGCAAATTTAGATGCTAAAATAATATTTGCTGTATTCATGAGCAGGTTACTTATATTTACTTATGAAACTTTGCTGTAATTAAACTAAGTGGAACTGAGCCAGATTCAGCCCAGCAGTCAAATAGCTAACTGTGCTGGTTATATGCCTTTATTGCTTTAAATGTTTCCAAAATTAATTTTATAGCCATTAAAATTTACAAGGTTACATTTTCTGGGTAAAAATCTTGTATATAGATGTAGTGTGGCTATATGTTGATGCAGACATTGTAACCAAGCAGTCAGTGAAAACCTCTACAAAGATGAAGCTGAAGAAAACAATCAACATCTACAATTTTGCCCCAAATTGTACTATAAAGTCATTGCTGCTCATTTCAGATCAAATGCTCCAATGTCCATGTCACACTTGTGGATAATGGTATAACAACACAACAAAACACAGAAGCCAAAGTGATTTT